TCTAAATTTCTGACCATGTTGCCCATGTTAGAGAGAGAGAGAGACTTGGCACTTGGATTTGACACCATGTATTTGCCTTGAGAGAGAGAGAGTTTTCTTGTGTGGGTGTGAGAGAGATTGGCATTGTGTAAGAGAGAGAGGGAGAGAGATAGAGTTTTGTCATTGTGTGTGTTATAGAAAGAGTCGGTGTGTGTGTGAAAGAGAGAGAGTTGTCATAGTGTGTGTGTGTGATAGAACGAGGTGTGTTAAAGAGAGTTGTTATTGTGTGTGTGAGATAGAAAGAGGCCCACCAAGAGAGAGAGATATCAATGTGTGTGAGTGAAAGAGAGGGAGAGAGAAACTAAGTCATTTGAAATTGTGATAATATAGTTGCCTTTTGGGCGGGTATTGGATACACAGCACTCTTAGTTGGGTGTTATGTTCATTTTATAGAAAGCTGAAAGGTTTTTTTTAGTATGTTTTATTTAGGGGAGTATATAATGAGGTCATTTAATTTTGGTAAAAGGTGGTAATTGATTGTTGAATGTGAAATTGGGTGGCTGCATTTATTTCATTGACCAAGCTCAAAGTTCAAAATAATTTTTTTCAAACTTTGTAATAAACCCAAGCTATTAAGTTTCACATCAGATGATTGGAAGTAATTATAACCTCCTTGTGACAAAAGTAAATGGTCTTATTGTATGCAATCTTTTTAATTTATGGACCGTATATTTTGTAATCCATTTGGGAACAATCTTTTTAATTTATGGACCGTATATTTTGTAATCCATTTGGGAACACGTACTCATTTCGATGAAAGAGCTACCTGGAAGATTTCTTTTTTTTTTTTAATATATCACTATTGTTTGTTTCAAAAAAGAGACTTTCAATTTCTAAACTCTTAGATTTGACTATCCAAATATTGGATTATATCTAATAGTATTATATTTTTAAGCATTTTTCAAAAACATCTCATCAATGTCGTTGTCATTATTATCATGATTATTTAGTATTTGTATAATTAATTTTAAAAAAATAGATTACGAAGGCTACATCCTCAATATTTAATTCAATTTGTATTAAGGGAGTGAATGGCTGACATGCTACCGAACAACCACATATATTTTGGATTTTGATGAGGATGAAGGTTTTATAAGACTTAAGCTTTATGAAACAAAATAAATCATCACCTCAAATCCTCGTCCTGAAAGCACTTTCGGCAACATAAATTTCTATGGTGGCTCTAAATCAATTTCCAACATCGACAATAAAATTTGAAACAAAAAAATAGTACAGATCTTGCAAGTTTGGCTCTAATTAATTTTCAATATAAACCTCTTTTATCACAAACTCAAACCCTAAGTGAATCCCCTTAACAACTTAGTTCGAGAGAGAGATGCTTTTTTTTTTTTACCATAACCCTATTGTTTAAAACCCCAAAGAGAAATGAGAGACCATGAGAGAAGATAAAAGACAACATGAAAGAGACCATGAGAAAAAACCATGGGATGAGAGAGAGTGGGGCATGCCCCCTTGGGCCTTTCAAGAGAGAGAGAGAGAGTTTCTATGGGGCGTATTCCGTTGGGCCTTTTGAGGAGAGAGAAAGTTTATGTGGGGCGTGCCCCCTTTGTGGGGTGTGAATGAGAGAGATGGAAATTAGGTGTAGAGATTTAGGTAGGGATCAATCCCTTTTTATAGTGCTTGAACAATACTAGGGTTTTACTTGGTTTGCCGCTCATGTGAAATTGGACATGCACCATTGATCTTGGGTGACTTTTGGGGTGAGAGATTTGAGCTTTCTATTTCATAAATGGCCCATCAACATCTTATGGAAGGTGCTAGACAATTATCACCCACTTCCTAAACTATATTTCCATTAATTAATTTAAATAAAAAATTAACATATCATAATATTATCCTTTCTTATTTTTATCCATAAACCTTCTCACACATTCCAAAATATTAATCAAATATTCCTCAAGGTTTCAAACTTTCCAAAACAACACGAACCCTTCTCTCAAGCTTCAAAGCTTGAGTATCAAATAAGAAAGATGTCATTGGTGGGGCATGCCACCCATGGTGGCACATAATGGGCCCCACCCATCATGTAATGGTGGGTCCAAAAGACCTATTGGGCCTCTCATATATTTTAAGTTATTTTTATAATTTTAAAAATACATAAAATCATTATTTGAATATTTAAATCATTATAAAATCAATATCTTCATTTTTATAAATCCAAGTTTGATAAATAAAATATTCAGATATTTATAAAAATTCAAATAACAATTCTAAAATAAAATGTAATTAAAATAAAACAAACTTAAAACCTTGATGGGAAAAGGATCCATATGGTCTATGAAAATATCTATTGGGGCACTCCATATCCAACGGCAAATTACGAACCACATATGCTTTCTCAAACCGACCCAGCGTTGCCCATGACCCACAGTCTATGTATGGGATTATCAGTAGGTTACAAAAGTCTAACCAATGAGCAAGGAGTCGCAGTCCCAATATGTGGATTTCAGGTCCCGCCTGGAGACGAAACACAAGGTCATCCAGACATGATGCAATCCATAGCTCGATGTTGCACTAGGGGTATCTCTCGCACGTTCACACACTTCACCCTAAAAAATGAAACGCTTTCCCAAAAATGGTTATCAATGTACATGTCGTATGATGGCATAAATGATGAGGTTTTGATCCCCGTCTCTAAAGGCTTCCATTGCACACAAGGGTCACGCAGTCCTTCGGCTCACTTATTTGGGCATACTCCGACCTTATCAAGGGATAACCCTTATCGGTACAATTTTCATAGCCCAAACAATATGAGTTTTCCCCAACCAGACTGACCTAACACTTCAAGCATAGTCCAATATCAGCAAACATTATTTGCTTAGTATGGTCCACAAGGGACCATGCTCTCACTGAATTCATGTTCCAATATATATTTTCATTTTACAAGTACTCATAAGGCCTTTAATGGCCACACTCACCCAACATAAATCTATTTCTATCTTGAATCCAAAGATTTAGAGCTCCAAAAATAGTACAAATCTAATAACTTTCAGTGATAAAAAAAAGAAGAAGTGCAATACGAATTTATTTTAGAGCTGAAAAATTATTGTTTTCTATATTTGTGATTACGGTCAAGATGATAGACCTCTAAAATTTTAAATTGCCAACCCATCTCCAAGATGTAGTTTGGAAAGTGTGTTTGAAATTTCGTTGAGTGAAATGGGGTAGAAATAGTACGATTTGCAAAAATGAAAGCTTGAACTCTTCTTGTTTTCGGGTACGCTGAAGTGTTGTATCAAGACGATATTTGCCTCCCTTCGATATAATATTTGATGTGCATAAGATTGACAATTCATCTTCAAGATATAGGAAAACAATGAGGTATTGATCAATGCTCCTAAGCTCTATGCACCCAAGCTTAACCACACACTAGACACCATAGTCTTGATGTATTAGAGAGAGAAAGAGACAAAATCGAGTAGAGAGAGAGAAAGTTAGCCCACTGGTTTATTTGCCGGAATTACATAGAATTGTATGTTGAGAGGGTCTAAAATGTGGTAAAAAAGCATTAATCCGTCTGGGTAGGAGGGCCCTTGTTTAGTGTTGTGGTAGTTACATGCACTACCCAACAGCTACAAATTAAATGTAGTTACATGCACCCAACAACTACAAGTTACATATGGTTACATGCACTTGAAAGCTGCCGGTACAAGCCTTCGTCTCATCAACATATAAAAAACCATTGGATGTCCCACCCAACGGCTAGATGACTGTTGGATGTCCCACACGCATCAACTGCTAGATGACCGTTGAATCACCTATGAATCGGGCTCACAAAAAGATAACGAGCCATGAGCCCGACCCGCACACGTGTGAGGGGCACCATGTACCAATGCGAGCAAAGTGCAAAGTGCTTCATAAAGCGCCTTTGCGCCATGCCACACGCATGCACGTCGCAAGCTTCGCCTGCTCCGCACATGTTCTTTCTCTCTCATTTGTACTTAGAGTATATTGCATGAGAATGCATGCTCTTAAATATAGCTCAACAAACTCTCTTCCCTTCAATGTAGGACTCAAACCCATATCTTCATATCTTTACAAAAGGCATTTTAGGAAAGTAAAATAAAACCAAAGTGTTGTTTTGAAATACACTTAAGCATTTTTCAAACAAAAAATTACTAACAAAGTGGACATGCTATAATGGATCCCAGTGTACACCATAGTCTACTTGAAAAGGTTGTTTAAACATTGAAAAACCTACAATTGATCACCTCGGCTCATGAATATGAAAAAAAATATGTCAAGTCCAACAAAAATATATCTTGTAACACATGATCTAGACTGTCTTTTTTTTTAACTTTAAAGTATTTCAAATTCTACTCAATCTATACTATTTTTTGAGCTTGAAATTTCATAATTAAGGTGAAAAATGGATTTCTAGGTTATCTTGAAGTCTTCTCCGAAACTGCATTGCGCCTTACTTTGGTTATTCAAAGTTGACACTTTTTACAAACCACACCCATTTTGAGACCCTAAATTTGGGATTGACCTATTTAAGCTTGAGAGTAAACTCAAGAATCATATTTTCACATGTGCCTAAAAAATGTCCAAAGATTGGCTATAAGACCATCCAATTTTTTATAGGTAAAATCTAAGTGTTGAAGAATCTAAATCTTTTTCTTTCCCTTAAATAATCATATGATTATGTAACTCATGGGTTCTATGTGCCCGATGAAGTAAGTGTACAATGTACTCCCACCGGCACATAGTAAACGAAAACTACCCTGGCATTAAAGTAAGGACATAACAGCAATTTTAAAAAAATGAGGATGGCAAGAAGTCATGAAGAATAAAAGAGTAATTCAGATACTCGCTTTTAAAGGGTGCAGCAGTCAAGGGCAGTTACGGAATAACGATAAAACATCACCGGCTTTTGCGTACTTTATCCAAAATAAATCCTTAAAAAATGGGATATGGATTTAAAAATCTAATACCAGATAGGTCCTTGTTGAAACCTTCACTGTAAATGCCAGCCTTTTGTACAAGGAGAGTGACAAAGAACCTTGTCCAGACCCTAATTCCTGTCCTATATCTTCTAAACCCTAACCCTAATTCTCAAGAACGAGACCACCATTCTGAGAAGAAGCTAGGTTCAGGATTTGTTTTCATGGAAATTTAGAGAAATCTAAGATTTTTTTGATGCGAGGGGAAGTGCTACCGGTTGGAGAGAATCGGTGGTAGAGAAAGTTTGGGTTAGGGATTTTTAGGGAGAGAGTTTGAGGGTTTTGATTCGGAGGATTGGTTTGGTGATTGCAGGAAGTTGTGAGCTCTAATTCGCGCAGATTGTTGGCCGCTGAAAGGAGAAACGAAGAAGCTAGGGTTTCGTTTTGCGTATAGGTAGGTGTAGATCAACGAGGGAATTAGAGTTTTGATGGGGGACTTCTTTTCTTGAGCCTTTGATAGGAAGGTGGAGAGACTAAGCAGGGCGTGAAGGTTTCATGGGGCCAATCCCTTGATAAACCCTGATTAACGAGAACCGAACTCTCAATATAAGGAGAACCTCGAGTTTCCATTATCAGGCAGCTACATAACAAGCACCAGATCACTTAATTGAGGGAGAAATTGGGTTTCTGCAGGAAGTTGATGAATTATAATTTTGATGGGGGCAAGCCTTTCACGTTTGACAGAAGGGGATGAAGGGCCTAATTCTATCAGAACAGGGCTTGGAGATATTCCAGAGAGCTGTGTAGCTTCTGTGTTTATGTATCTGAGCCCACCTGAGATTTGCAAGCTTGCTCGAGTGAATCGAGCATTTCGAGGAGCTGCTTCTGCTGATTTCGTGTGGGAATCGAAGCTTCCGTCGAATTATCGTGAACTTTGGCAAACTTTGTTCTCAGAGTGTCCAGAAAACCTCACTAAGCAGGAGATCTATGCTCTTCTCTGTCGTCCAGTTCCTTTTGATGGGGGTTCGAAGGTAAGGGTTTCATTTTTTTTCTTGTTGGTTTATGGGATTATTAGTTTGGATTAATTATTAAGTGTTCTCTCTTTTCTGGATGATTTTATTCACTGTGAATTTGGTTTTTGCCATTCAATTCTGGTGTTCATTAATTGGATTGAACTTTTTGTTTCAACTGATGATTTTTTCTTTCTAGGGACTTTTTTTTCTTGGTGAGGTTGAGGTTTTGGTGGGAATTTGGCTCTTTACCCTCAAATTTGAACTGAGACTGGTCAAGATTTTGGCCGTATTTACGACTTTGTTATTGAATGTACACATTTGAGAAAATCAGCAGGAACATTTCCCAGATTGAACCTTTGATTCATCTTCTCTTTTTTTTTTTTGGTTGTTGAATGGATCGATGTTTTGGTCTCCTGGCTTGTGTGATTTGCCCAAGAAGCTGGGTCTTTTTTTTTTTTCTGGAATGGAAAATTGGGTTGTTCTATTTAATAAAGAAATAAAAAATGCCAATTATAAAAAATAATTGTCAAAATCTGTCTGAGCTAAATCTGAAATTTTCATAGGAACTTTTCTGTTGATTGGTTGAGTTTGTTGTAGGTCTGGTGATACAAAACCTTTATGGTCATGTTATTCTAAAGATTGTTGTTTTAGAACTGATAGATTATTTAAAGGGTATTGGGATTCTATAACCATGATCATTCCAATTAAAGAAAATTTTTTTTTTTTTTTAGACAATGCCCAAGCTTGTTAGAGTACTTGTAAGCGGGTAAATCCCAACAAAAGTTGTGCTTATACCATGGATTTGTTGTATAGATGGATCTTCTCTTAGAATTACCATAGTTTAGTAATTATTCAAAATAACTATATAAGTGTTGTTAGGAGTAAATGGAAGGTTTTTCTTGGGAATTGAAGGATTGGATGTTGAGTTCTCTATATTCAAGGGATGTTTCAGATTATGTTGTGCTGTTTAATTTATCATTTCTATCTAAGGTTTTATGATTCTAATAAGTATTTTTATATTATTCCAGGAAGTTTGGTTGGAGAAGACAACAGGTGCTGTTTGCTTGACCATTTCTTCGAGAGCGATGTCCATAACAGGAATTGATGATCGTAGGTACTGGAATTGGATTCCCACCGATGAATCTAGGTAGGCCTGTGCCTTTAATGTTTTTTTTTCCATATCCATCTGTGCTTTGAAGTTATTTATGAGGTAATTATGGGAATTGTATTCAATTGATGAACTAATATTATAATTTATTCAATCATTCCATGGGGATTATCTGTTCAAGACAGGTTCCCACCATAAGACTCTTAACTCCTTGCATTATAATCTTTCAGCAACCTGATCAGCCTAATGATGCCTGTGTATCACAAACTGGGACATCAACCTCACTCAATGGCTCCTGGAGAATACAGATTGACATAAATTGTTATCACTCACGCTGTTTAAATGCTAGAATATATTTATTCACAGCAGACAGCACCATATGGCTATATTAAATTTATCTTTCTTTTTCTTCTTTTACTTCCGTTTTTTTTTTTTTGAATAAAATTAGAAAGTTCCCCAACCATTGATCGGTATCATATTTCTGATCTCTCTTGCGTACGAGGACTTATGGGTGTTCCTTTCTTTTGTGAAAACACATAATTTTTTACTTGTAGTTGATAACTTGATGTATTGTACAAAAGAACATGCTTGAATCTTATCACTTTTTTTACCCCCTCCGAATGTGAATTTTTCTGATATATGGGTCCATGTGGTACTGCTTCAGTTATTGCCCCAGATTCTCTATCAAACAGGACATATAAGGATAGTTTTGGGTGAAAAAGAAAAGAAATAATACTTCCTAAATACCCATAGTGTCTGTGCAAAAGACCTGTGGGGCCCTGATCATCACATTAGGACTGGTAGGTATCCATGCTTCTTTTTTTTTTCTGAAAATGTTAAATTGTGGGCGCTGTCCATGAATTCAGGGTGAATGATGTGACTCAATTAAATAACCATGGGTTAAGTAAAATTTTTGTCTGTTTCGACTTTTTGAACATCAGGTTTATGATTGTTATTGGACATGTTAAATGGCTACATTTGCAATATATACACAAATCATCGGATTTTGGAGAGCCTAATATTCATGCACCTTGCTTAAGTTGCCTTTCATCTACTGCATATGAGTTTGTTAGCAAATACTTTTTCATTGTTCATGAGTTTGGAAGGTGCTTGTTCATGCTCTTAACTATACCTCACACACACATTAACAGTTATATGTGGTATTTCTGTATGAGCAAGGGTCTTCCTGGCTCTAAACCAGTTAATTTTCAATGGACACAGTTTCTATGCAGCCAGCCCACATATTGTAGACTAAAAATAATAATTATATCAAGAAAACATTTGGACCGTTAGTTACACTTGATTTTAGATAGTCCACCTATTTGGACCGTTAGTTACACTTGATTTTAGATAGTCCACCTATTTGCATCCATCTTTAAGATAGATCCTTTATACTTCTGGGCCGTATGTTGTAGAAATGCGGTCCAGCCCGCATGAAACAATTTTCCATTTTCAATTTCCTCATTATATCCCAAGCTTTTGAAAAATTCTCAATCCAATCACCCTTACAACAGAATTATAGAATCCCCAATTTCACTGTGAGCCCAGAATACATTAAGGTTGGAACCAGATATCTCTTCATATAACTCATTTCTTTGTTTTTCTGGTAGTTGTAGAATGCTTTTTTTTTACTTGTGCTCCAATGGCTTGGCTCGTTAGTTATGGTAAAAATATGGAAGGGAGTCTTTCCATAGTAGTGGTTAGGGCTTAAGGGGACACAGTGATATATTGTCTTGGGTTTGATCCCGTTAACCTTTGCCAAACAAAACAAATCTCCTCTCTCTCTCTCTCTCTCTAATAGAAAAGCATAGTGTTTATTTGGTCTCAATGCCGCGTTTGGATTGCTTGCAGGTTCCATGGAGTGGCTTATCTCCAGCAGATTTGGTGGTTTGAAGTAGACGGAGAGGTCGAGTTTTGTTTTCCTGAAGGAGCATACAGTCTCTTCTTTAGGGTTCACCTAGGTAAAGCCTCAAAGAAGCTAGGTCGTCGTGTCTGCAACTTTGAGCACATCCATGGCTGGGACATCAAGCCTGTTCGTTTCCACCTATCCACATCTGATGGCCAGAATGCTTCGCGTGATTGCTACTTAGAGGAATCCAATAAAAATGGATCAGAATGGAACAAACCCTATTCTCGGGGGGCATGGTTGAAATGCCATGTTGGAGATTTCAGAGTGAATAGCTCCGATTCCCCGACCAAGATCAAATACTCCATGACCCAAATTGATTGCACCCACACAAAGGGTGGCCTCTGTGTAGATTCAGTGTTCATTGTTCCTGTCAATCTTAGTGAGAGAAGAAAGGCATGTTCGCTTTTAGAGAGAGGAAGGTGAAGTTGGGTTAAACAGAGATGGTATACTGGGGTTTTCAGAGCCAAAGGTATGTTGGGTTTTAGAGAAAAGTATGTTAGGTTATAGAGAAAGAATGTTTGTTCGGCAAGGAAGGTCTGTATAGACAGAAGGTATATCGGATTGCGTATAAGTTTGTGGTGCTCTCGATTTCACTGTGCATAAGCAGAGTAAGGGCTTGCGATCACCGTATGTTACATGTCGGGTTTTGGGCGCATTGGCATTTATTCTGCAGGGCGGTTTCAGATCTTTTAGTTTGAAATTGCATTCGAGGTGTGCTGTTTTGAGTTAGTTTTTTGTTTCAATTTTTTGGTTCATATAGATGTAGCATCTCCAAATATCTTGTTGATTATGTACGTCCATGTTTAGTATTTGTCCCATTGTCTATATTTCAAAATGTGAAAAATTTCTCTTGAGATTGAATTACAAGCAGAATGAAGCTTTTGGGACTGAGTATCATCAATGCAGTTTGGAGATGCAAGCCTAGGGTTTTGCATCTCTTCCATGGTTTTGTTTCTCTTAAGGTTATTAGCTCTCTCCCTTTTCAGTTCATAGTTCATTGGGCACAAGGACATGAATGGGGATGGTCGAGCTGTTGTTCTGCGTTTCAAATTGTATGAAGCATCAAACAAGGGGAATTCCCAGATCCCATCATAGTATTGAAACTGGGCTCGATTGGATTGGCCGATCTTATCAATTGGAACAGACTACTGTTTGGTGCCTTTGTGGGGTCTGATCCGAAGTGAATATTGGAATTGATTGAAAACTTGTTAAAATTGATAGATTTTGGTTAGTCGAACGAAATTGATTTTGACTAGTTAAATCGGTTACACAATATTAGATTATTATTTTTAATATATTTTATATTTCTACATAATTATTTTTATTTATTTATCATTTTAAAACTAGTTTAATTAATGATCAAAACTATTTTTTACTGGATCAAATCTCTCAACAGTTTTGTAATTGGTCCTTAGAGTATGACTTTTCCGGTACAGTTTAATGGTAAAAAAATAGAAAGAAATTATCCGAGGTTACCAGGATTTTTCTCAAAATCAATGGTAAGTAAGCAAATAGAAAGAGATTATCTGAGGTTACCAACATTTTCCTCAAAAATCATTTACGTATGATGATGGTGAAAAGTAATAATCTTTGGGAAACATTTTGGGTATCTCTCTCTTGCCCTATCCCTCTTTAAAAAAATACCTGCAATTTTTCTTTTATACATTTTTTCTCTTTCAAACTCGTCTGACTAACCTATCGAAGCGGAGTCATTTTCCTTCTCTCAAACTCATATGAGTAATTTACTCTTGAGCTTTTAATAATTGATTTTCAAAAAGTACTCCCTCCTTCTTTAAGCCTATCCACTCTCTCTCGAGCCAAATTGGTTTGCATAATGCTTCCTCTCTCTTTAACAAGTTATTTTGGTCTATTTCAATGTTTCAAAAATTTCTATTGCAATTACCAAACCTTATAGTTTATTATTCAAGCTTCTTTTCATTTTTTAACTTGTACCATAAAGATTTTCAATTTGGTATCATAAATTTATTGCTCATTTGAAATTATATAGAGACATTTGAAAGACTTCTATAATAAATAAATAAAAATAAGGCTTAACACAAGAAAAATATGTTGTTCAAATCATATGATTCCAATGACTTATCATGCTGAAACCAGAATTTAATCATGTTAGAAGACATGTGATTCTATGTAAGTGCCAAAGGCATATAAAATAAGTAGGAAATGGTGTGATGATGATTTTAAAATGGTACAAGCTATTATTAAAAAAGCTTTTTGGATTGATGACGATGTTATTATTAAAAAATCTTATTGGAATGGTATGATGATAACTTTAATTCTGTATTTCAGTAGAATTTTGTGACAAAAAAGAAAGAAATGATAGGTTATAGGCAGGTGTTGGTAAAATGTTGGTAACACATTTCCCATATTTCTTCTCGACATAGCCAAACAGTAGCAATGTATTTCCCAGGTTGCATTTAAATATTATCCAAACAGTAATAATCCATTTGCAGGTAATGTATTACGCAGTAATGTATGATGCCAGTAATATATTTCATAGACAATATATTTCCAGGTGTCCAAACAGCCCATGAATGTGTAGAATCTAATACCGAATGTTGGTTCTTTATGCCAAAAGATTTTGTGCTCCTGTGGAAGCATTCCCCATTTACACTCATATTACAACTTGACTATGTAAAGTTGTAACTTCACATGCAAAGGTTTTGTTAAGCGTCAATCTACACCGTCTAACTAAAAGTGATATTTCGATAATTTTACACGGTCCAATATTATCTATTTTCATTGGTTGGACGGCTATATTGGGTAGTATTAAACGATATGTCAAATTTTATAAGTCCTTTAATGACTTTTTAAATACGAAGTGTCTAATAAAAATGGATGATGTAGAATACTACAATTTTACTTCTAAAAAAATTGCCGCCCCATATAAAGTGCACTCCTAATATATCATGCATGAGATTCTGTATAAACATAAACAAATTTTGCAAAATAAAATTCATTTAATAAAAAAAGTTATATGTTTGGTAGAATCTCTTGGGATTTATTGTGTAGACAAGATCTCATGAGTTTGGTACAATCTCTCTTGGTTTTTATGTTGTTGGCTAGAATCTCTCTTTCAATGCTCAAGATTTCCAATGATACGCTAGAGTCCCAATCAATCCGAGATGTTGATGTTGGCGCTCTCTCTCCCTTTTTCAATGCACACAAAATCTATATTTTTTGGAAAAATCTCTCTCTCTCTATCTCACACAAAATCTATATTTTTTGGAAAAATCGCTCTCTCTCTCTATCTCAACTTGGCCCCGAATAGATTTTTTGGAAAAATCGCTCTCTCTATCTCAACTTGGCCCCGAATAGATTTTTTGGAAAAATCGCTCTCTCTCTCTATCTCAACTTGGCCCCGAATATTCGGGACCAGGTAAGTCCAGGTTTCGAACTGGACCTGACATTTCTGGTGATTTTGGACTCATCCTTGGATCTGAGATCGGGCCTATCCATCGGATCCCAAGTCTGGTTGAGTTCATTGTCACTTTATGACTATGAGCTTCTTTTTTTTTTGCCTTTTTTTTTATCATCATATACCTATATTATTGGTAACATTTACAACATTTGCACAACATTTATAAATACCCACATTCATTGTTGTTTTACAAAATAATTGGAAATTCTTAAGAAATAAACGTACTGGCAACATTTATGAATACCCACATATAAGTCGGGTTCAAGTCGGGTCCTGCTTGACCCAGACCCGACCTTTTGGGTCCAAAATTTAGATCCATAACCGAACCGAGGTTGGGTCAACTCGTCGGGTATCGGTCTGGTCGAGTCCATTGCCACCCCTAAAAAAATAGCATAAAATCATTATCACCATCATCATCAGAGTCTTTCCCAAATTATTTGGAGTCGGCTACAAAAATCTTGGTCTGCCATTCGGCTCTATCAAGAACTATATCTTCAATAAGGCCATAAGTC